TGCACCCTCTCATCTAATGGGTAACTCTTGCTAGAGAAAGTGATATTGTCCGCCTCTCACCAGCCAATTTGTGTTTAGGAATCGTAAGATTCGGCAACACAAATAAAGTGCATATTGCGCGCGCGCTTCACAGCCAATTTGATGATGTCCATTGATGGTTTCAACTGCGTAATGTTACCGGGCTCGAAAGAATGACAAACAAACTAGCTGGCTGGTTAGACATAAATCTTATGACAACGTAACTCGTAGACCTGGTGAAATATAGAGACTAGATAAAAGCACACACGTCATATCAGCTTGCTTCAATGCCGGCACGGAATTTATTTCATTTCAACTGATATCTATATGAGATGCATCACTACTGGAGGGCATAAATCCAACTTATTCTTATTTCTTGTTTATACAAGGGAATAAAATACTCAAGGGGATGTTTGTTTAATAAATGGTCAAACATTACTGAAGCAGTCTGCAGTTAAAAGGTAGTGGTTTTTGGCACTACTATCTCATTTTGATAGTGTTTCATAACGGCTTGTGTTCGAAAGGTGGCTCAGAGTGACAAGAAGGTTCGATTGTCTTTCTATGCACTATTGGGGTCATCACTTTACCTGTGATCAATCCCGCTCGTCTTGAAGGGCTGTCATGAGATCTGTTAAATATGTATCTGTATGGTGAACTTGAATTTATTTGGGGGCTCTTATGGCTTCTTTGGGGAGAACACTTTCGAAAGACCTTGATCAATTTCTGCCCCTCTGATTGGGGACGACCCACAGAATGGTACTGAGAAGCACTGAACGGATATTTCATTTTTACTTGTATCCGCCAGCTTTGCGCAGCCCGATAATCTCCTGAACGATTCCAGCCTGCAACCTCTCACTTAGTAGTTAAAGACTTAAACACCTAGCAACGATTGACTGGTTTTTAATGTGACTCGCTCTCACTGAAGCGGACAGAACACCAACCATCGCTCAGTTACTCACTGACTGCTTATCAAGCACCTTTTCAGGCAAAAGACCAGTCTTTGTGCAAGTTATGTTTCCTTCTAATTTGCGTATATATTTCGTTGCGCATGAGGGGATTTTTGAGTTTTCAAATGAGATTTCTACCTAAAAGCAATATCAGTATTGGCTCTGAAGCTCCGTGAAGCTTATTGTAATCTTGATGAGTCTCATCAGAAGTGCGAAACCCGTTATCGGTTCCCAAAGTGCTTATTACAGGTTGTTCTCAATGAGCAAGGAATAAATACACCGTATTTTTATACATTTCTCCATAGTTTTTACTCATATGCAGTAAAACGTCTCGTTGGAACTGGGAACGAATTATGTATTCTACCGTTGGATTTCATGCCATTGCTTCGGAGATCAGTGCGTTGTATTTGTCAGGAAATTGCCATTCGTGGTCACCAGTATGAAGATAGTTATTACCCAACTTTACAAACCCAAAAGCTTGAGCTAACTGAATCTTATCCTGAGATCGTGTTTAAACCAATTATTTCAACCCCATCCACCAATTAATGCTGACGCCCTTATAGAATGTGGACGAGCTCAAATTGTGACCAGCCGTTGGACATTTCTGTATAATGCAGGAGCCAGTGCGATCCAAGCGCTTAAGCTTTGTTTCATGCAATCTCGTTTGGCACTAAACTGAAAAAGCACTTAAACGCTTAGCAGGTAATCGGTAGACTTTGTTTACACCAAGATACATTTCTGTCTATACCACGTGCATTTAAACTACTTTGTATGAGTGTGAGTAGAATTAAAATTTGGTGTTTACCTTGAGCAAAACCCCGATCAACTTCTCGATTTGTGCCATATATTACATTAGCAAAATTTATCATCAAGACTACTGTTGATGGGATTGTGGAACTCGAATTGAATACTGACATTCCCCAATGCATAATCGTTTCACGTGCACAATTTCAAGGATCACTAAAATTATTATTGTGCATACAATTTGTTGCCATCTGAATAACTTTCAACAAGAATAAATGCATTCACACTGGGAAAAAATTACCGTAACATATATTTATATGTTGTATGTCGGGTGTGAGTTAGAATGAAAAGTCATGAAGAAAATTATTGTTTACGTTCATTCTCCAAGGATGTAAGCATGTTTTGACAGCTATGTGGCCAAAAGTTCCTGTACCACTCACCGCCACTCTTCCGGCAGGAAACCCATGTCATGTAATCAGGTTCTCAACGCTAGTTACACAACGTTTGGGTGGTTCTCGAAATCCGACTCATTGTGCTCAATCGTACAGCGAAAAGAAGTTGGGAAAGTAGGTTAAGTCAGTTCTAACCAACCTCAAATATTCAGTGTTGTTTACTGATTACATAGTTGTGCGCTGAGTTTCATTGACAAAAGGGTGTATTCTAAGTATATTCAACCGGACAGTCATGCATTAAAAATGATGAAAAACTCTGGAAAATTTTATGAGTACAGCCCAAAAACTGGCATGCACAGGCGGTTATTGGGTCGAAATAAAATTTTATTAAGCTAGAACTGCCCCGAGTTAATAACCATCGTTGCGTAAGACCCCACTCTTTAATTATTTTTAAAGGATGTCTGGATAATACATTATTCACTAATTTCTATGATTTTCTTCAACAACCTGGCAGAACCCTCCTTTGGGGTGTGCTGTTGAATGAGCAGCTATGGGTCACATTGAACGTATCTTTTATTGAGTATTCCATTGTGTTTTATCAGGTGAATGGATGTTAATTCAGCAGTTTTCACCTCAAATGACACACCACATATTTATATCACTTTCTCCAGACCTGTAGTGGCATTACAAGCAATCTCCAAAGGGGACAAATGATACATTTAACCCTAAGTGGTATCGAAATCCTCAAGAAACACTCCAAATATATGTTCGAAAATCAAGTGTGTTTATCCCACAAGCTGTCATTTTAGTGCAGCTTCACGTGATATTCTTCAGATCACAAGTTCCACAATGAAGAAGAGTATCTTTCATTTCCATCGAACTTATTCGTTTCAGCGAGCAAATCGGTTTCGTCTTTAGTATATGTCTGCTTTTGATATTCACATTCAACAGACAGGAGATAACTTTCCTTCAAGCATCCTAAGATGAAACCTTTAAATCACTCAACGATGTAAATAACCAAATTTTGAAAAAACTGCATCTCTACATGTTTGGATTTGCCAGTGATGTGCAATAACAGCAAAATAATTCTATATTTTCAGGTGGCACAATAAGTTGAGCATATACCCCCGGTAATGGACAACCGTGTTTTGTACAATATATTACCTGCCTGCTCCAAATCGTCGGACTGTTTTGCTTCTGGTTTACAAGTATCATCAGCTGAGGAATCAGTCGTTATTTACGTTATCGGATTACATAAAAATCTGTTAAATGCATTCGGTCTCACACCTTACAGACGACGACGAACGTCCTCTGGTAAGAACACAATTTCGATACGTGCGTGACCAAACTGTCCTTTGGCAGGCAATAGCTGTCAGTAGGTCACGTTGAAATGTTCGCTGAAATCATTGTCATGCTGGCGACTGGGTCTTGCCTACAACAAAAATGTCCCTCACCAAGAAAATGAAATCACAATGAAGAATCTGTCAAGTAGATATCTGGGCAAGATAGTCATCTGTTAATTTTCGATAAAATTAGACCACGTTTGCATCAAATCGATGATTTTGTCGTCAGAAACCGTCAACATTCCCTAAGAACACGATCCGCTTTAACCTTTACACGCAGTAACCACGTGCAAGCCAGAGTACATCGACTAATTTGTCAGAAGTGGCAATTTTGCTTAAAATATATTAATTATAAATAATACTCCCCATACACAATTCTAAGATAATAAAAACACCATGGAGAACTAAGTTCAGGCCTGCTTACTCTTGCGAAACCTGACCTAAATCTGCAAGCAAAATAATGCACTGCAACTCTCAGATAACATTTCCTGGTTTCAGAAATCTGACTGCGCCCAATCAGGTTCACGAGAGTGTAGGAAAGCTAGGAAATCTTCATTGAATCAAAATAAAACTAAAGGAAAACACAGATGAGAACTCTGCCCTAGAAGAGACGGACAACACAGAGTTGCAAAATACGTGGTCAAACTATACATTCCTGTAAATCGTATCATGAAGGCACGTTCAAACGCTAATAATAATTCCTTAAATATGCCGCAGCCAGAGTTTATGATTCTGTGCAAAGTAACAGGTGTCATCACGTTCCGCCTTCAACTTTCATAAAAACATTATTCTGTCACAATGAAGCTTTGACATTGATGAAACTAACCTACCAACTAAATGTAGGCTTAAGAAGGACGTCATAAATAATTAGAATAAATTAAGAAAATTGAAAGTTTCTAAAAATGTCTTTTTAAGTGGTGTGCATAATGAGTACTATCCTCATTCCATTGGAAGCAATTCATTTACTGTAAGTATCAGACGAATAGAGAAAATCCACGAATTTGCTGCAGAACGCTTGGGTTCTAGCGAAAATTAAAGTATGTCGCCATAATAGTTTGAAAGTAAACTTCAAAGCATACCATGATACATAGGGGCGCATATCTCTACAAAACACTTTCAAGGTATTCCATATCGTGTTGCCATCATCGCCAGAAACATGCCAGTAGTGACGTTCAGCGAGCTTAAGATCCTGGGTGGATGTAATTAATGGAAGAGATGATATTGGAGAAACGAAATCCTGATGGTCGAAGGATTCGGGTACTCACACAGCGTTCGGTTCGAGAGAAGTTGTCTTTCTTTAGAGCACAAAAGGCCAGAATTGTTATAATTCCGAACTCGGAGTGCCTAGTGGCGTATCTTTAGACCGCTGTCGGTTGACCAACTCGGAATGGGTGACTGTGGAGGCTGCATTAGCAGAGCTGTGCTGATCTGCAAGCTGACACACCACGATAAGGCTCGTTCGATGTGCGATGGATACCACATATTGAGCCAAAATGTGTTGCAAACAACGTGCTAATCTACTGAGACAATGTTTTGGCCGACCTTCACTCATTCACCCAGGAACACAAAACTCCGCATCTCGTATTTTTCACCCCGATCCACAGAATAATAGCGGTTATTGTTGTATATTACTGTCTGAAAGTAAGTAAAGAAATACTATGTGACTGGTCTAAACTTTTGCAAAATATCACCCGCGAACTTACGCATAGTGAAAGAATAGTCTCCCATTTCGTGAGTTTTTTAGACCATGTTACCAAAAAAGACCTAACTATTTTATTGCCAGTAATCTATTCGCTTGATTCGAAAGTTCTGAAAGTGAACATTATCAGCACATATGATGAATCTGATAACCTACGTTTTAATCTATCCAACCGAACTTACATCGAACTTAGCATACCAACGCAAAGTTTAAAGTTAAGTAACCGAGAAGAACGGCTACCCCTAAATTCCAGTAATTCATCGTAATGGGCGCATCAGTGATAACTCCACCTCTCATGCAAACTTGCCATTCCTCTAAAACCGCACGACCTTGTACCTGATAGACTATAGGTGTACAGCTCAAGAGCTCTGTTGGGGGTTGATCACTCTGTCACTGGCCTAATACCATTGATGCTTTGATATTACCTGACAGTTAAGTTTTCATCTGCGCTCCATTATTTTTGGTTTATTGTCAAGTGCGTATTAGCCACACATACAAGTTTACGTCATGAACTATTTAGGATCTTTACCGTTCCATAACTATTTTAATCCCAATTTCGGTTAGAATGATGGGACGTCCATCTTCGTTCTAGAGGCTTTGATCCAGTAAGGCGTACATTGTAGCTCTTGGTGACATTGACCATAGGTCCACCAAGTCGTCGACATCTGTCAAGCTGTTTGGTATTCCTCAAGACCTGAAAACCCCATTGTGAACTAAATTTGCTGTCTTTATTTACAGTTGACATCGGATATTACTGCAATATGTTGGATGTTCTATGCGTTTCACGTAACGCCCTCTGTTCGAGATCTCTTCAATCAACCCGGATGTTCCGTCAGTGCATCTGCAAGGAAAACCATATACCAGTGTATGAGAAACATCTTGGTTATCACGAATGCTGTAAGATTTTTGAAGATTCATGTCAAACAATAGACCCTGTTATGTACAGTAAAACCGTTTATTCAATCCTCACTATTAGGGGTTCAGGGAAGTAACAGGTTTTGCACGATATGATTCATTACATAGGCAAATTCCGAAAATGATTTCACGTGTTCGTTTCAGTGGTTTGCACCAGCAAGCCGCTTCAGTACAATGAACGTTACTGAAACTAGTCAGTCGCACACCAGTTTTCAAAGATTACGTTAATGACGACCATTTATCTTTGTAAACGCGTGATCATCGGGCCAACACCGAGTCAAACAAATGAGTGACCGGTTCTTATATGCACACCACTGAGGAAGAACATTTTCATTTGAACCAGATCATCTGGCATCTGATCAGAGTTCGACAAGCTTGCCAGTTGGTTGTCGTTCGGACGTAGTTCTAAAGGAGTGGTTAACAAACTTTTCACGTAAAATCTCAACTGCTAATTAATAGGTAGCATGTCATATTATGCCAAAAGTCCATTTAAACCAAGAGTTACATGTATTTTTTTTACAACAAATCCACCATTTACTATAATCTTATCACTGTATTACACTGCAATACAATGGTTATATAATGCTTGGTGACCGTGACACTATCAAAATCGAGCATGGTATTAGCGCCAAAAATGATATCTAGGAGTTCCAGCAGTTTGTTTCAAACTATTTGGTTTTCCCCACATTTCTGCCATGAACAGATCGTAAGCTCAACCCCACCGAACGAAGCTGTCATATCTGTTCCAAAGCAGGCGGGATTTGCTACATAATGGATAATGACAAACCAGCGAGCATTGGGTGTTCATGTTTAACACTTGCACCTTTTAATTCAACCACTGGAGGCAGGTATATCAGTCGAGATGCAAAACAAAATCCGACACAGTGGAAATGCGGCCGACAATTAGGTAAGCAAGAAACATTGTTTCTAAATTTGATATCAGTTAATATTCATTTGTACCTCACTTGACTATCCATTTGACCATTTGACCACTCAAAACAATACAAAAAGACAATTGGAGTGATTAATCTTATCCAAAGTGTTAGCTATGGTTTCAATAAAGGACAAAAATTTTGGTTTACATTTTGTAGTTCAGACGGATGTGGGTCACGAGCGACCAGCTGGATCTGCAGCACCAAGTGGCTGATGAGTTGAGAAAAGAGGGTATGACCATCAAAGATAAAAAACAAAACCCCTGACTGAATTAGAATTAATTCAGAGCTTAGAACTGCGCGCTTCGCCATAATAACCACTTTACGAAAAATGACTTTTACGTAGGTACCAATGGTAAGAAAGCACAATTTGTATAGAAAGGCATTGCAAGTAACGGCAATCTAAACGCGTACAGTTATTGGTATTTTGTCTGAGGTGAATGCACAAATGCACCGTGGTTAAACCTAGTAGGGAGTTTCTTAATCACTCTGATCTCCCGGTGTGTTTATTAAGGCCATGGAGTTTTACGTATTCCAAAACATTACAACATTTATTGGGGATAATTTTGGTCAAAAGACCTCTCAAAACGGACGAACAGAAAACCGTTCTCGCTTATCCAACGCCGAAAATGACGTTGCACACTGGATGCCCATATACAAAGTACACACAACTTTTTAAGATGCAGCATCCATTTTATCTTGCATTGAATCAGCCAGCCACACTGAGTGTGATTGCGCGGTGTCTTAATTTTAGTGACGTCAACAGTTTCGGGGATCTGATGTCCCAGAATGCATGAGGTTCACAGTAAACTGAGCAGAAAATTGCGGCAAATTCAAGCTTTCTGAACGCTTTAATCTTAGGATATTTGTGATATCATAAGGACACTTGCACTGATATAAATACAATCTGCCTTCAACTAAGTCAAATTTGAAGTGCTAATAAATATTCCCAACATTAGTGTGGTTTTTAATAGTTCTGTACCAGACTTGATGAACACACCAGTAGCTAGATGGTCAGCTATTATTAAGGGTAGATTGAATTCGATCAAGAACCAATAATTCACATCAAAAACATCTTTTCAACCAGCTAATTTAACTCCGCTTGCGATCACATTTCATAGTCAGGCAGGAATGGAACCCCAGGTGCACATACTCCTCTTCGTGCTGGACTCCTCTCATTTACGATGGAAAGTAACAAGCGCAGAAAAAAGCACGACTTTGGGAAATCGTTGAGACCGATGTCAACAAAAATCCTCTAGTAAGCTATTTCGGCTTACAGAGCTCAATCTTTGTGAAGAAACACAACAGTTGATCGTGTACACGGAAGATAAAATTACCAGATGGGCGAAATATGTTGACCCACTGTTTAAACGCGCGGCGGTGAGTTTTATCGAAATGTTGCCGAACTAAGTGCAACGTCAACAGCAACGTCCCGACAGCCCAAATTCTTTGTCTGGAGGAAAAAGGAGTCGCTTGAATGAGAGAAGAACTCGGCCAGAATACAAAGTATCCATGCTTCAGATCAAACCACAATGTCACTTGGTGTAGCTGAGACAAAGTGCACCAATCATCTGCATGTTCCATACTAATACCTAGGGAAGGTGCCAAAACTAATCATCGATACAGTAATGAGGACATTTAGAATGTATTTGCTCATTTGTATCTGTTTTAAGGTGTGAGTGCGCCTGAACTATTAAAGTAACCATTTGATCATAAAAAAACGTGTTGAACAGGTTTATACTATGCATCGACCGTATGAACACTGGTTCAGGTTTCAAGAACCTATTATTGTGTACCACACTAATGCTTGCTTCGCTCACAATGTCATCCTGATTGGTTATAAAAGGTTAGCAATCCAATTTCTAAGCTAGGCGAATTAACTATCACCCGAGCAATTCACCGGAGATACCTGTGTTCTGCAAAATCACATTTGCAAGCCAAGCGCCAAGCTCCACTAATGAATCAAATGACACTTGTTTTGAAGCTAGTGAGCCTTACCAAGCTATCATTGTGTCCTCGCAGGGAAAAAGTTTATGGATTTTCAGAATGACGGACTGATTGCCAAAAAATTTGAACTTATTAGACGTAAACTGCAGGATATTTTTTCCATCTAGCTCATTCAAAGCGGAAAGCTGAAGAAGGTCACAGAATCAGAAGTTCTATATTAGAGCTCACATTTAGACAAACTCTTCAGACGTCGGGAGACCAACACCAATAAGTCAACTCACGATAGAATCACAAATTTTGAAACCGTAAAAAAACATTTTTCTTTACTTTTGTATGTTGCCCTCCTGAAGATATATAATGCAGCCCATGGTAAATATCCGTAGTTTTGGGTGCAGTTTTGGGTTGTTGCTTCTCCGTAAACAGGTGTATTTACTCACTGGTCTATGAGACATCTCAAAACGCCACTCATCGACATAGCTTGTTCTAGTTTTTCAGAGGACTTCCATGAACACCCAACTTTCGCCAATTACGAGCGATACAGCAATACGGTATAGCAATATAGCTGATATCGAGCAGTTATTGAAGAGTGCTATCTCACAGGAACATGAAAACACCTTAACTTTGTTACCACACAAACTTGCCTTCTGTTTTAGGTCACAACATTTACGAAATCACGATGAGGTTAATTCGAAACGCTTTTTCTAGCTGCCGCTGCTAGACCATGTCCCAAGTGAACTTTAGTCGTACAATGACGGTAAAGCGCTGCAATTTCGACCAATCATGGTGTGTGAAACTATCTGCTCATCCTTTGTAGCCTAGTAAAAACCTATTTCGACAAGAGTGTCCACAATGAAATGATGAATAGTCTAGCAGTTCGTAAATACTCGGGATGCTTAGTGCAGTCAATAAGGCCTATCAGGTTGATTTTGATAGAAAATGCAAGACTCAGGCCCTAAAGTCGATTTTAAAGTATCCTTTTCCATGTAAAACCCTTGGTGATTAGGCTTTTCCGGAGAAAAATGACACATTGGGCTTGTTCATTTGGATATCAACTACCTTCGAGCGGAGTGCATTTGAATGTTCCCATTTTCATGGCTGGGGTCAAGTAATTCCCATTGATCACCGTTGACGATTCAAAATGCCAGAAATTAGCCAATTTCACCGGTAAAAATTCTATCACCATGGAAGAATACCAGTCCTTAAGCCTACCTGTCTTTGTGCCAGGAGCTGTCTCCTATGAAATCCGCTTACAACTTCTCAACCTAGCGTAATATTCGATTTTTTCATTTTACTACCCTTGGTATTTGTCCATACTCTTTTTGCTCGTTTCTCCTAAAACATCAGGTCTTCCGCTAAGGTCGGATGACCATCCTCGATTTTGGCTTTCTGATCTTTTCATTCACCCTTGTGTTCGGCTAAGCAAATGTATTTTTCACTAGCACTTTGCTTCCGATATTCCGTCTCAGCAAGAAATCGCTTAATACAACCGCCTGGCCGTGAATTAAACTTAGTTCTGCAGTATGATTGCTTAATTTTCAACCAATGCGCTGAGAAATGAGCATGGGGAAGAGTCACACTTCACTGCTATCCTATAGAAACATTAGCCAGGTAAACTTTAGTTAGGAATCATGAGATTTCAAAGTTAATTTGGAATTTAAATGTTTGAGCCAGCCTAATAAGATTTTGGGAAGATAAAAAGCGATCTACCGGGTTAAATTGTGTCCAAAGTATTCGCAGTTTCAAATATCCACTTTTAATTGGAGGGTGGATTTGAAGTGCTGTAAACAAATGAACAGCTTCATGGACGAACATAATAAACAAAACATTCCCCTTCAAAAAAGTACTGTGAAATATCTGGTGCGTTGTAAGTGGCCTCTTGATAGATGAGAAATCAAACGAAGATCGAATCAAAATTGTCTGTCAAACGCACGCTAAAATTAAACTTGTTTTGGTAAAACACTATATATAAACATATGTATAATACTAAGGTTAATCGTCCAGCGGTGACATCCTTTCGTTACCTAACTGCCGTACCACCCGAAGGAAGCACAAGTGCTGGGATAGTGCCGAGTTGCCCAAGCCTAACAGAGAAAGTTGAGAGACGGGGGACACATTTCGAACCATGGACCTTCTGGTCAGCAAATGCGCGCTCTAACCACTGAACTATCTTTATATCATATATACTATATCCATAATTGCATAGATGTCCACTGTTTGGTAAAGATAGAATCCCTATTGGGGATCATTATCAGTACGCACCTCAAGAATTTCAGAGAGCTTTGAACTCACGATCGCTCAGTTACAGAAGGCACATCAACTAGCTGGCACCTTGACAGGACATATCTTCACTTATCCTTCGTGACCTAACAACATTGACCTCAAATACTTTACAGGAAAATGTGAGGTTGAATTACCCCGGATGTTCCTGAGATACGTACAGTTGATAAATCCCACCAAGAATGGACGAATCGACGAATTTTTCTAGTTCTTATGGATAGGCCAGCTTCACATACAGGAATAAATCTCAACTGAAGATTCCTAAATCTCCCAATTTTTTGACAAACGCATTTAGAAAAAATTCCTTGCGTCATCGGGACAACCTCCTTAAATATATAATTACTAGCCATCCGCCATGGATTAAAAATCACTCTGCTGTGACGCATATTTTGTTTCCTATGTCATTTATAACTCTTGAAATACTCCATTTGATTTATGGGATTTTTTAAAGTAGAAAAGTAGCCTATTGAAATAAAATTTAACCCAGTGATTTTGTTGCCAAAGCCGGCCATTTTTTAATGATTTATACAATCAAATATTAAACCATTTGGAAGCATTCAAAATGTTTCTTACATACAAAAAGCTTTGCTCAGTTGGTGGTTTGACCCAAAATGGAATCAGTAAATTGTACGAAAGGATTCCGTGACTGTTATGGCAAATGAGCAAATATGTTTTTTTAAATTTTTCTAAGAATTGTTCAATTTTATCGCTCACAGTCAGTATTTTTCACGGACATATACAGAAGGTTTCTCGCCAAAGATACTGAACGGCCCACTTCAGTCAGTTTTACTGTGACAGCCTGCCTTGCAGCACATCGCAGCACGAAACTAACGGTTCTACGAAATGGAGAACACCACGACAAGAACAAAGCAAATGCTGCAAACCGGTGCGTTTGCAGAAGGGAAGGTGAGGCACATGCGATAAAAACTCTCCTAAGGAATCAATTCATGCTGAATTGCCGCGCATGTCTTGTTGGTCCGGAACCGTCAAAAAAAACAAAATCACAGGATATTTAGTAATGTTTCTTCTAAGATATAATCATATTTTTGTAAACTTCTGAAAAAAATGTGTGGCACGCATGTCCAGCTTTACACGCTTTTGATTCGTTCCCCATGTGAAAATAATCTTTTAAACAGCTTTACCCGCTTGCCTATTCAGATCAAACCGAATTATTTACCAAAAGGTACGCATGCTATAGCCACCAATTTTCTGCAGTTCAAAATCTCTTTTTAAGAGTGGAGCGATGTTGCCGCTTAAAACATGTATTCAAAATAATCTGAATTCTATACGATCGATTTATTGTAACGTGCGTTTGCGCAATGCGTTGTAACACCTTGCACATCCGAACACTCTAAATGTTCTGCGCAATGCCAGCAAGAGATATGTAACCCTGGTTTTCATACTGAAAAAATGCGACGAAGTCGCCGGTAAGATCACCCTGTCGTTACAAAGTAAATCCACAAAAGGAAGTTAAGAGAATTTTTGTTTGTGTAAGGAGAACTCGGTCCTTTCAGTGCGTATCTTATCCTATGCAAATGGACCTCTTACATATTGTGTGGCACTTTGTTTGCGCATTACCGTGGATGTATAGGTCTTCTGAACGGTTACTGGGAGGTAAGTGTAGTGAAAAATTTATATTACAAAGTCCAGCGCAAAAGACGAAATCGGTTACCTACCTCTTAACCCCGCGTCTTAGAACAGTCTGCCTTATTTATCGTGAAAATCATCCTGCACTACGGACTATTGGGTTGGTGTATGATTATTATATATTTCATATACATTTATATTTAAGCCAAAAGCAAAATCCGTTCGTAAAGAACCGATTCCAAGCCGATAGAAGAATTTTTCTCTATTTATGGCAAACATACTGTACGATACACTATCATTACACAGCGAAAAACACCGAACAATTCTCTGTAGCTAACAAGAAGACAATATTCTGCCTCTGAGGAGGAATTCCATCATTCAGTCACTGAGAAGGAAGCCGATTATTCAGTCTACATTTTGCATGCTACTGCCGTCAGTTTTGAATAGAAAAGTAAAAAACAGTGTCAGTCAACAGCATAATGACATATTGCTGTGGAACAAAGATTTTAGTGAGTAGGACGGTACAAATTGGAAGGGGTTGTACGTGACCTAGGACTCTTTGCATCCGGTTGAAAGTTGTGACTTGTCTGGCTAGAGAAATATGAAGCTTCCGCTTAAAATGAGACGAAGTTACAACAGCAAAGCTAGAAAACTCTCATTGGCAAAAAACATTAAATACCTATCACGCAAACAACGATTAGAGCTTAGGATCAAGACAATGTTTTACCTCATCTTTCGATAAATCATTTATGCCTTAAGTCGGAACATGCATTTTGAATGCATGACAATATTCCATATGTTACCTCTTTGAATGATGCAACACGGGCATACCAGTATTCGACACACAGTATAGAACAATCGGCCTTGGTTGCGCCGCAGAAAGAGATATGTTTGACTGTATTTGCAACACTAATGAAACTGGAATAGCAGGACGATGTGTACAAAGAGAGAAGAAACCAACTGGTGTGGAAAAATTCCACTTTCTGTTGCGGAATTTTAAGCCAAGCTTGGCAATTAAGCAACCAGCTATGAGCATAAAAGTTGGTAGTAGATATGCGCCAATATGACAGTTCACTCTGTTGAAAAAATTAATGACAGCAAACTGGCATTTAATCGATGTTACACTTTGATGGTTTTCAATGCTCTGTGGCAAACACTTCCAATAGTATATTTAATACCATTATAGGCAGCAGCATCACTCAAAATTATACGTGCAAGCAAATATTAGACAATCCATTATAGAGTTTTAAAAGCAAAGGATGAATTTCGGGTTTAATTCGGGGAAAAATCTGAAGGAAAATACGTTTCATGTTTCTATCAAAATTTATCGAGAAAGCTTGAACAGTGCCTGACAGAACGTTTTCTGGTCTTTTGTTGTGGCACAGATGTTTCTTGTACTCAAGACGATATCACAATTTGCTACACTTTATCGATAACGTTGGATTGGCAATCCGCAGTCCGTCCGCCCGATATTCGGAAGATCATTGTGTCCTCTAGATCTGGTGGTACAGCATTAACCCAGAAATGCTTGGTGAAATTTTCCAACAACGACATTCAAGGAATAGAGGTACCCGAAACATTTTGTCGAAAAATCAATGTGTCCATGGGAAAGGATAACCCTCCCTGTGGCATCCATATCCTGCGAAACCAGGTGAGCTCTTGTTAAATGTATATTTTATTGACATGCCCCGAGAGCTTTTTTAAATGTTAGTTACAAATGTCTTGACAAGCTCCGACAAATGGATGTGAAGCTACTCAACTTTATGTAACATCCGGTTAACTAACGTATTCAGGAATAACGGATCCATTTTGAAAACAGATAGACATGATAAAGCAGATATAAGAAAAAATATGAAGCTTGCTTTTTAAATCAGGTCTAACTCAACCCAATTGGTATGGCTCCTGGAAAATTTGCTACTTTATGTAACATGGAACTGAATAAAGAAATAACTAAAAAAGAGGCATAAAGATGAGCCGTAAGTTCCTAAACACCATCGTCGAGATGTAAAGAGACTAAACTTTACCCCACAAAATCATTCTGCAGTGTTGCCTGGCTTATTCCGCTCTACTTCAGATGTACGCAAGCACACTGAAGTATTTTTTAATCGGTAGATAAACCTACAGTAAATATGAAGCCAAGTGATTTAACAAATCTATCCAATGCGCTTGCTATCCAACAGCTTAAGTGTGGGCTAGAACAAAAATAATCCCTCTACGGACCAATTTTAATACTCACATCCATTTGCAGCTAGTCTTTTACAGCTAGAATACAGCCCTGATTTCAGATGTTCAAACCCAGTTCCCGATCCCTAATTCTTGTGTGTGGTATCCAGATATAGGATCTATCTTTTTATTTTACACAGGATCGACCGTTGTGTTCACGCCTCATCTGGTTCATCCATACTGATTATCTAACGAGAGAGAGGCATACTCCATAATGTGATCTTGTCAATGCGTCCCGTATTTGCTTAGTAAGATAAAAACTTGAGCAAACTTTTAGTGCACTTTCACAGACATTAGTAGATCGACTTCAGTTAAACCATTCAAACTTGGCTACTTTTATTTGACCGGTTAATTATTTAGGATTGTCACAGCAATCAGACAGATAATACTTAATATGTCGATCAAAACGTAGTCAACCTGACCCATAGATTGTTTTTTTGTCCGCCGGTGAGCGTGGTTAGAAACTCTGAGGGAATACATTAAAAACAAGTACTGTGAGCGACCAGACAAATGTCTGAGAAAAGATCCGGCACTAGGAGTTTGCTTGGAAAATCTAACTAGTTTTATCGATGCGGTTCCTTTCCAAACCCGCCACTCGGACGGATCTTGAAATTCTGAGCTTGCAGATGATGACCAAATTATTTACCAGTTACCAGCGCCAAATGGGGGGGAAACCTATCCTAAAGTTTTGGGGAACAATGCGCTGTGTTCATTTACAGTCTACTGTTAAATAGGATCAGGCGTTTAGGAGAACAACTTCTAATCTGGAAAACTTAACAACACTCGGTGTTGAAAGAATAAGTCATCCATGTTACTAAATCAACGGACCTGAAAAATACTAAAACCATGACGCTCTATTTTTTGAAGACCAAACGTTCTAACACAAATACTTTTGTGCTATTTAGACCACCACAATATATCAAGGCTCCGTTCTTTTATTTAAACGCGAAGAAGGCAAAACTAACGATCACATAGAAGAACTCCCATGGTCATGCTCAGCTGAAAACAAAATGACAAAGGTTGACACTCACCTCATTCAAATGAAGTAAGTTATATAGTTTTTATTCATATTACAAGTAAGAACACACTACACAGTTAAGATGGTGATGAAATTATTGGACTTGGTAAATGGATTTCTGTTAATAATTGTAGACTTGACTATCGCCAGCTGTCAAGATTAGTCTTTCAGGTCATTTGTTCTATGACGAGGATATTTCTTACGAACTTATAGGATTGCTAAGTCAAAGAGATGACAAATCACATCAAAGATAGACAACTATTTTGACGATACTCAAAATTCATTCGTTGTTTTAAACATCAGTTAGGCTTTCACAAGGGCTCGTAGGCCTGAATTACTGTATTGACAAACGCTGGTGAATGTCACACGAGTCTTTAGGCTAATATCAATTAACGAAACCGCAGGCTTGAGATAAAACAAAGAAAGTGTAAACTTTTTATATCCTAGGCCTAGGTTCGAAGGTTTAATGATAAAGCCCAAGTCTGCATCGGTTGTTTCAATTCTAAATCTTGCCTGGAACTAACGTTACAGGCAACATATTGATACACAGACCACACCATGTTATAACATTTCAGACAACCTGATTCACTGAGTTTGGATGCGAAACCACTGCACATATAAGCCTAGCAACCAGAGGCCACGGTAGTGTACACAATCTGTGTATTTTACCCCAAGCGTTCGAAAACCTTTCTCCTAACCCACATATAAAACGACACGGCAAAAAAGTCAACGTAATCAGTAGTATTGCCAGACTAGAAACCTTGTCTCTCAATCCATCCGTTTTACCAAGTAATTGTGGATATTGGGCTGCAGTTAACCAAATGCTGATTTCTGGTATTATAATGTTGAGAATCACTAGTTGCTCAGAAAAACACACTAAGTATAACTAGCTACTTACTATTATAGAAGGCGTGGAATATTTCCACAGAAAGCTGCTAAAACTAGTTTACTTTTGAATCCATGTCATCCGATTTGTGATTTTGCAATTGTTTGCTACCTCGTGAAAGATCCGAGACTCTACTCTGTTAACATCACCATGAAAGTAGTCTGTGGGTTTGAAGGATCCTTTTTTCGGTGTTGCATAAATCAACATTCTGTCAGGATTTTACTCCATTAAGTATTCGGAATCAAGCGAATTGTTTCCTACTGTGACGAGTATTATCAATAAAATCGCTAAGCATCAGGTGTTTTAGGTTGTGTATGATCGATTGTGCATTTTTTGTGGATTTATATGTATGTCGAAAGCGAACACTTGCAGACGCCCGTGCGGCTATCTCAGTCTAAGTCATATTGGAAACAGTTACAAACCTTTGCCATGGAAAACGGTTTTTCTCACATCCACGCTGAGTATGCTCTGTGTGAAGTGAGCTGACAACTGCCTTTCAATACATTAAATATCTTTGTGCTTTCCCGGAATCCACTGAATTTCGTGTTACTTTTTGTTTTTTACTTACTTTTCGTTGGTGCAACGTATGTTTTTACAAACTTTTCGAAGCATCGGGATGGAATGAATTTAATAATGAATTAATAATAATAATAATGAGTAATAAATAACGGAAACATGGCAAAGCCATCAGAAAGACCCATTGTTTGAATACTCCATCATCCATCTGACCGCGTTGGTCTAGTCCAAGGATATCGCATAGCACCTAAGCAGTTGGTTTTAGCTCAGAGTTACAGGTTAGGCACAAGTTGAGGAAATATATCCTAAACAGCTACTTTCGGAATTATAATTTCTTCATCTACGAAATCTGCCCAAAATTTGCGCGTTCCTTATCTGATGCTTCTGAAATATGAGAAATACTTAACGAAACATCATGTCAAACTACTTATCACCGATAAACCAATTATGAAAACAGGTCTATACATCCATGCCTTTTATCAAACAGTTCAACTCGTTTGCAAAAGCAAATATTGCTGTTAAGTAGAATCATTATATTGATCTTTCCTCTCGAATCACCTTAACTCCAAATTTGCTACTCCTTGAGCCTGAGCCTTTTTCTCTCCCCCACTACTCTGACGTAAGTGTACTTCTCAGAAGTCTCTACGCGTGTTGGCATAATGCGTCGATACATCAAAATTTATTTATCTTCTGATACATTTGATCTAGATCGGATCAGCTTATAGATGTAAAACAGAACTATTTGGAAAGTCAGAGAAGAGTCTCATAACACACTGGACGAAGCCCTTTGTTTTGTCCTTCGATGTTTTTATAACAACTGTTAACATTTTACAAAAGCAGACTGCGTTCAAACGGAGATTAACTTCAACCTGTAAATGTGTCTGTTCACTTCTTTTTTGACCCGAAAGTGTAAATTTGGTTTGTACTATGCTATTTTCTACGGAACCGTTTTTCAAATATCCTCAATATGGTCGATATGACAAATCAATTCATGCTCTGAAGTTTGTCCGTAGAAAACCTATCCGCTGACTAACGTGAACACAGACATAACATTGGTGATAAACACTCATCAAATTATTGTTGAATTGTACCCTTTGTTTACACGAGGCTGGTTAAGAGAATCACAGCAACCTGTCAGGTTGGTGCTTTAGATCTTAAAAGCTCCATTTTCCATACCCATCACTTTAGTATGACGTGAGTTAAAAGTATGGATACATCTAGTAAATTCTGTTTCGGATTACGAATTAAGTTGTCTTCATAATCAGTGTACATGAGCATCCATTCATCAGCTTGTCATGGCTCACGGCATGCTAAATGTTGAAAAAAATTGGTCACACACTCAAGTTGCTCGTTGCGGTCGTCAAGGGTGAACAATGGGCATACATCCGTAACGTAGTCATCGGAACTTACGGATAAGATGTGGAGTTTTCTTAGTGGCGGTGGTGTGAAACATCTTCAAACAAAAAACTACTAGGTATACACAATCTTGTGTGTTATCCCTTGAATGCAAGATAAATAGAATGTTGTTTTAAATGAAATTACCTTTTATCCACCCACTTTTAATCCTCGTGCAAACAGTACAGATAATCTAATACTGTCAGCCGTGAGGATCAGAAGATACAGACCGAATCTGCTCAACGCGGGAATGAGTTTGTTACTATAGCATTTCTATGCCAAAGTATGTTACATACTACACATAACCTAAACAAATTTTCCGGACAACCGTGATGTATTCACTGCATCGGCCTCTTCTCCAAGGTTGCAATTTGTTCATTCTTCTGACTATGTGGTTCGAAATTTTGGTACCCACACTGCAAAATTTATGCTGTCATCAACGAAGAATGACCCAAATGAATCATCATTGTACAGCCAGCCTTGAAACCCTCGTTCTGGGTATCCACAATTGTTAGTTTCAACCAAGTAAGTTTCACCAAAGCTCACGAGTCCTCCAAATCATATGCCACCACAAGGATTGGGCTAAGAGTGAGCGTCCCCGTTGCACTTTGATATAATCGACTGTCTATCAGACCCCACGGCACCAGTGTGCAAGAACGTTCAGATCCATAAAAACACAGGTTCTCCTTGCCTTGCGTGCCCCAGCGTCATGCTCTAAGGCAAAAATATTAGAAATATCACTTACACACCAAGCATCTTCACCTCGCCGAGATCTCACCTACTTTTTCAGGTTATTAATCGTCTTTCGTCAGGTTCACCAAAATCCTTCCACGAACTGGGCCATAATACTAAACGAAGAACACACGTGCACAGTAGAAAATGTCACATGCAATCTGCTCTAAGTCGAATACGCATTCATTTTGACGAAAAGTAGTAGAAGTAGTAGCTGTATTGCTAATAGGCCGAACTTAGGATGCATTCACAAACGGTCAGGTGATTTCTTCCAAACGATGATGACCCACGAAATTCGTTTCTGGCACCATCACAAACTTTGCATGCCGAATCGCTCAGTGTGCCGATTTATTTTCGTATTTACACGGTGATAGACACGAAAACTTACCTCTTGCGTCGTCTCAGGCTCACTCATTTAGTTAGCTCAGAGAGCTATAGCGGAACTATCGAAACTACTTTATTCCCCAAAGCCTCACTGACGTTACACTGCCCACCTACGCCTCTCTGACATGATAACGACTACCTATAAGGTTACAAAACCCACTTAGCGCTTATTCCTCTCATTGGCCCTAAATTTGTGCTCCTACTTTCAATTCGCAAGACCTATGTTAGCAAAGCTTTTGTCTGCCAGGGTTGCGTTTTTTTGCACAGACCGTGCGGCATCTGGTCCATAATCTTATTTATTCGATAAATATATCCCATGCATTTTGAACAGATAAATGCGATTGTGGTACCTGTTCTATATGGGCGCATACATCAGGGCATCCCAATATTCTGCATTCGTTCCGTCCTTAGGAATTCAAGGTGAAAACCCATTGTGTATCTAATGTTGTAACTTTATCTAGTATTTCACTTGCTCACGAGAGAAACGATGGAACAATCACAGCATGGGCTCTAGTCGCAGGATCCGGCTATCTCGGACCCACTTCTCGACTTTGACACAAACTATATTGGCCAAAGAGATGCGGCGTTTGAACCCCAGCGTCGAAGATTAAGTCAATAGACATTATTCCTCTGAGGTCACAGACTTTTGTTCAGTATTCCACGAACGCACGTGATGGAATTTTGTGGGCCCCATCTGGCGCAGACAGGCAGACCGCATACGTCCTTGCGGTGGCAAGGACGAAGCCCTGTTTTATGCCAGTGAAGATCACAAAATCATTTGAAATTGATCCATCGTTTGTAATTATTCTCTTATCATATTATGCAGTCTTCGGATAAAGTTGACGAATTTTACTGAACAGTCTTGCCTTGAAAGCTTCTCGGCTGACACAGACAGAGGACTCTATGAAATTCGTGAATAACTCATAGAGCAGCCGGTAATTTTCCTGGACATTTTTTAAGCTATCGTGCAACACGTATCAATTTCATCATTCCACGACTAGACGGGAATCCATGCTGGCCTTCGTTGATGTGTTAGTCGGTCACATCAGCTCAGTTGTGCGAAGAGTTCGTTCCAGAGGCAGTTCACTGAATGCCACCGATGTGGCTGTCAGACGAGGCTGTTTTTTTCTTTTGCCCTCTGTTGTTCATAGCGTGGAGCGCAGCACGTGTCATTACCAAATTATTAGCCGAATTTTCTCTCTGATCTGAACGTTGCTGTTCATTAGAAATTGCTGGCTCGTAAAACATCCCGATGTGGATAATCGACGTTCAGCGTACTACTGGTAGGCTACGAGGAGACTGATAATAAGATTTTTTAATGAAGTTATATTTCATGAAAGTTCATTTCCTATTAAATTGCCGTCGCTCATCCGTTCACCTGGGACATAAAATTTGCACACGAGAGTAAATCTTGTGTAGTAACGTTTAGGCCTTGCAGCCGGCAGGTCTCAAGTTTATCTATGTACTTCATCACAAAACAAACAATGAACTTGATATATTACCTTTACAGAGTTCACGCATCATAAGAAACCATAAAACACCTTCGTCAAGGCTGACCACCCTTAGCTGATAACACCGTTGCGCTCATCTCTTATTTCTAACATCCAGCAGTAGTTCCAACATAATGAATGCTGATGGTGAAAAATAATTCTTCCATCTGGTAAATTTGATGAAAATAATCTCCTGTCATCAAAGTAAATCACTTATTCCTACCTACTGTCATCCAAGCTTAGTGGTTGACTAAAAGCGCATTTTCTCCACCCAAAATACTGTTTCCTGTAGGCATGTAGCGCACCTGGTGTCACTTCTGTTTACTACAGATAAAATGACAACTTATTTCCCATTAGTGATTAAACGCAACTTGGAGCATCCTTTCTATATTTAGATGTGTGCTGTATGATAGCCCACTAAAGCATGTTAGGAGTAACAAGCGAGCCCAAAGGTTTTAAAATGTTCACAAAAACGTTGCAGGTGACTCAGCAGATTTCACACAGCGATATATCTTGTCCTTGAAATGAAAGCTGCTGCATATTATGCCCAAATCGACTGATGTTTATCATGTCTACGGGGAAAGATTTGTAGCTTGTTGCTCTTGTTAATTTGTAAACTTAGATTGTATTATTAAATGATTGCAAAGTGTTTGTACCTTCACTCACTGCAATGCATGTTTCCACAGCAGGCGCGTAATGAACAAAAGACGTTTTGCTATATTTCCCAGAATCGCCCTGAATAAACATCATTTTTTACCACAGACAAAACTCAGAGTGGAACCTGTACTCACAATTTCAATCCAGTGAACCACTACCAGCTGTCAATTTCGCCATAACAAATGGAGACGGTCATCCGGTCTCGGAAGTTCGGTGGGGATCACTAATCAGGATGGTTTGTAACTTGACCAACATGTATGGTGAGTAATGCACCATTATCGGACGTCCAAAATAAAGATTATCATGTGGTGTGTCCTTAGAATGGACTAATGACTGAATCTAGAACAGGGCGCTGATTCCGTTGATTCTGCTACCATTACTTAATTAAGAAATGAGCTTCCATAGCGCCTTCGAAAATAATGTGACCACCAATTTTCCAAGCGTAATTTTTGTTGGTATTATGCACGAATATATGCCAACGGAGCACTGATTATCAAAGATGTTCCGGAGAGTTCCCGGAAGAGTTCTAATACCACCCACTTTCGAAACCCTAGCTGCTGCTCAACCAAAACTGTACACTTTCACCTAAGCACCATATAATTTCGACTACACGTCAACAGAAAGGCGCAAACCGTCCTCCAAAATTCATGTCGCCCGTTTACCATGATGAGCGAGTTCTCCTTCAAAGTTAACCTTGATGCTTTGGCATTAGCTCCATCCATATCTTTACCTGAATGTATGACGTCACAAAGCCCAAAATACCGGCCCCAATATTGACACATATTGCTAGTCAGATAATGCCAACCACTGCAGTCTCCATATGTCCAAACAGACGAGTTTACCAGTTAATTAGGACGCAATAATTCGTTTATTATGCAGTAAGCTTCGGCCCATTGACAGACTTTCATGCATAGTGAAGCCATATTGATAGCGTAGTTTTGAGGACCCCTATGGATATCAGGACAAAACTCTGCTGTCGCTGAGACACCCCGTCCAAAATCAGGCAGCGGGTCAGACTATTATATGATCAGTAGGATGATATTTCCGGACAACCCTCACACTAAACTAATTATGTCCTCTAAATGTTTACACACTTTCGCCTCGAAATACGGATACTGACAAAGTTAGAAACCGCTGGTCTGAACCAGTTGCTAAAGGCACTTATGAAGTGTTTAGGAGTTCAGAGGATGAAGGACAGTGGCAAGAGAATGAGTATTCTAGTCTTTAAGGTAACCCAGGAGAAACGAACCAGTTATTAACCAGCTGTAGTCTCCGAACACGTACGACACTTTACTCTTCAGTGTGCCGCAGAAGCATCACAACACAAACAGACTAGTTTATGTCATGGATTAAGAACGTGTCTTACTAGCTTCCCGTGTTCAGAACAACGTTCCACATTAAACAATACTTCCAATGCTAGCACATCCCCTAAGATGACTTGTAAACTTTTCTCCAATGAAGCGCTTTAGTGTGCGAATTTTATCGATCTTGACCATTATGCTGAAGGAGCCATGAGGAAACCTTCGCCCTAATATTTGTAGAGCTAGAACAAACATTCTGTATTGCTCCGGACGCCTGGGTAACTGTTATCTTATCGCCGACATTTCTATCATCCGTTTTTACTCTGCCCCAAACGTTACGGTCTGTAAAACTCTCAAATTAGCGAATTCCACAATCGGATTCTATTTGGATGTTGAACATGATAAATCTTCCATTTTCTAGCTATCGCATTACGAGCACATCAGCAAGAACTTTGCAAGATGAGCTATCCAGTGAAAGAACATAGTCTGGTAAACATAAGGAAAGTTCAATAGCGGCGATGGCGTTACCTCCTTTGGGAACCTTCCCGTGCCTTTGTTAAAAAGAATTAAAGGAATTTTTGTTCAAGAAAGCCTGAATACTGAACTAAAGTCTTTCACAAGTTTAGTGGAGAGTCAATATTTAGCTCAAGATACCTCCCATTGGAGAAAACTGGAAGATCTGGAGTTCATCAGCATTCATCATCTACACAGACAGCAATACCAGCGTTACTACTAACGCTTCACCACCGTACAACCACTTACCTAATTATATTTAAATACTTGTTGTGAAATGATGAAACAATTGCGTAGAATAGAGAACTAAATATGGGCCCGCCACACAGATTCGTAAGTTGTTACGCATCAAAGAGCTCAACAAGAGAGAGACTGGAGAGAAACTGACGGTAAAAACGCCACCAACATCGATCAGCCTCTTTTTCTTGCGGTATTTGCAGCCAAGTTTATGGGAGTTATGAAGCGAAAAAGCGGACTGGGAAAACACATATGCTATTCACAGTCTCTTCTCACTCTCCGGCGTTTGGCATTATCCTACAAGGGACCAGGAGAACAAAATCCATTTTGGTAACCGAGCTTCGGCAAACGTTGCATATTGCCGAGCCACTACATCCGTGTTGCTGGTTGCACTTCACGTCTGATATAAGTGCTGCGCAAGAAGGTAGTCGTCATCTAGAGGTCTCCTTGTAAATTTGTGAACGTCAACCGAGAGCAGCGAGCTTTTAAGATATCAGCGGTAAGAAACATGAGGGTGTTTTACAGTATCTGTCCGCAGGGACATTGTCTTGCAACCATAACATAGCATACAATTAATGCAGCCTGGTTTACATAACCTTTGAAATTCAGTGATGCTTTTTGACGCTAAAATTGACTTAAGAACATGATTCTGGCTCTAAAATTAGTGCCGAAATTATTCTGCCAGTGGTCTAAATGTTCTCGTATGTTAAATATCAGAGAGCCATTCTGATTCCTAATAGTTTCGCCGACAAGAGGCCTCCAAGGAGCAGTCGAACAAATCAAGTGGAGCAGGTTGCAGATGCCTCCAGCGCTTCCTTCTCTTTCATTTCTCCGGCCTATGTAATTCACCAAGTCCCTTTGTTTGCAGGAGCCTTCGCTATCGCCTGACGTCCGATGATGCATCGGGTTGAGCTGTAAGACTAAGGTGTCGCCGAGCCTCCATCGAAACCAGGGTTCTACAAGGAATTAAGTGTTTGGATGATGTTGGCTGGGTTGTACCGCAAACCGATGTTCTGACTGTGGGTAGCATTAAAAATACTACACCGCGATAAGTTCGACTCTTTTTGCTTTGTAAGCTAAAGAAACATTCGAAAACTCTAGCCGTTTGCCTAACGACTTCCCTATAAAAACGCCCGATTGAGTACGCCCTACTGTCTAACTCACTACCATCATTCTGCCCAATAGAATGATAAATGTTTACTTGTCATGGCATGATCCTTCAATGGTACTCTTTTCGTTCTTTTGCAGTATTGCTGTGAGCTACTTGCGTTTTGAGCCTCCATGTTTTTCATTTGCATTGAAACTCCATTAAGTAAAATTCATTAAACGTTTGCACCTTGCAAGATGTCTGGAAATATAGTTTACCGAACAAGGCTGCTATCTCAAATTGCTTATTCTGACCCACATAGCTGCCTCAGCTTAAAATGCACGGTGTCATTGTCGCTAATTTGTTGTCAACTCTGATATGCCAATTACGCTATCTTCAGAGTTAAATATTTTGAAATAAAAACAGTTACCAATAACACAATAAAGTTCTCTCAAATGCGCTAAAATCGACGTGCGGCTGTGAACCTTCGTTTTGAAGCTTGTGGCGGGTTTCTGTAATGTAGCGGTGGACTTCCGCTAAAATAGAAATCACACAGCAATGACAATTAGGTCAACTAAGCATATTTACCTTATATACCATGGGCATGACAGACAAAGAGAGATCTCAGAAAAACCTATGTGCCCTACGAGCCTGCAAATTGACTGCGCGAAGAACGCGAAAAGTCCTTTATCATAACCAAACGTAAAATTGATGTCCAGTGTCAATTTGGGCATCTGAAGTCATTAGATGCTCGCTTCAAGAGCAGAAAATATAAATGTGTTGCAACACCTAATGTATTTGTGTACACACTGTAAAGGTGATCGCTTTAGTTTCTATAAATGTAGAGAAAGTACATGCCCTTCCAAAAAGTCAATGCGTTATTATCTAACCCTTATTTACACTAATTGTGAAAGTAGACAAATTACATCAGTGACAGTGGTAGAAACATGCATCATTCAACTTTTATACGTGAAGTCTAAATTAGTATAAACTCGGTATTTAGAAAGACTACTGATACAATCACTTTTGGTATACATGTAAAATAAACGCCATGCGAGACCCCTGTGATGTGTGCAACACCAGATCCATACATAGTTATGAGCATGCTAACGACAACTACTTTGACTTCCAATATTTTAGGCATCGCATAGTGTAATTTGGACAGCATTTTCATTCACAATTTTCAACACAAGTAAGCGATGCGCCAAGCTTACAAGCAGGCCACCAAACAGTAGTGCAAATAAAGTAAGGTGGTAAGACACTTGTAAAGTGAAGTGAAACGATATCCGGTCAGCCACTATTCCGAACGTATTCACCAAACTTATGCCACAATCCTGTCTAGCTCGACAACATACAATCAGTCCGGAAAGGCGTCGCGTTACTGATGAACATACCGGCATGCACAAGCCACAATCTGCCTCTGAAGAACTCAGGGTCTGTTACAAACTGTCGGTGGCAAAGTGATCTTTTGTGCACTATTTAACGAGATGCCAAATGATTGCAGAGACTGTCGCGTTCAAAACGGCTATTTTGGTCACCCGTATTACCACCGAGCCGAAGAATACTTTTTTCTCGGGTTATCGGTCAATATTTTAGTTACCTAATTGTAGCCTTTCTGGACGGACATATTAGACCACTTCTTCCACAACTGATGCAGATGAATCAAACTGATACTGCACTTTATCAACAAGACGATATTACGCAACAGCACACCACGAGTGCACTTAGATATCCGAGCGAAAATTTCTGGCCTGTCCCGGAAGACTGCCCGCCTGTCTACACTAGTCCTCATTGCTACGTCCCTATCCAATTTACTTTTAGGGATATTCGAGTGGGTTTGCCTACAAGTACAGATGCGAAAAACTACAAAACAATACTCAAGCATGCCGAATAGCGGTGAAAAGATCCTGCAAAGTTGCAGTTTGTTAAAATTAGATCATGTATTTTGTGGTCAAATATCTGTGGCTTGTTGTTAATATCTGCTGCACAAAGCCTAATAAAATTATACACGCATACAAAACTTGATTTCCGCTATTGTTCTCCAAGACTAACAAATCACAAAGTTCTGACATCGGGAATTACGTAAAAATTTTATGTGAAAATGGGGGTCACATACACTTT